GTGACATACACTTTTCAGGAATGTGTGTGTATCTAGCTATTATACACATCTATATTCTGTAAGGCACTGTTGTAACTCAGATATTGCAATGTCCTTACCATCCACAATTTTCTGGAAAAGTTGAATCAAAGGCATCCTTAAAAATTGATAAGCCTGGTGTTTGACAATGGAAGGCAGGATATCAGGAAGTTGGCTGATGAGAGACATCAGTTGCCAAAAAGAAGGAAAAGATTTATTTATTTACTTACTTATTTTTTATTTTTTACTTCAGATTGATATGTGGGTACAAACATTTAGGTTTATTGTATCATTGCTAAGGTAAAGTTCAAGTTGTGACTGGGCCCTTCCCCAGGGGGCTGCGGAGCACCCTCACATTGTGCATATTAGGTGAGAACTTGGTAATCTCCCTCCTGCCTCCCTTTCCCCTCTCTGACCTTCTCCTCCTCCTCACTTGAATATACTTGTGTTTTTCTTCAATGTGGGCGTGTAGTTTATATATTGGTTTCATATTAGTATTGAGTACATTGGATACTTGCTTTGGAAGGAAAAATTTTAGATGAAAAAGAAAACAAGCACACAAACAGGTTATTCCATGCCCACATATCATATATATTTTCCAGGGGGAAAGTGACAGAACCTACATGAGATTCTATGGGAAGAAGCTGTGGAGCAGAAAAAGAAAGGTCAAGGCAGTGGCAGAGGTCAGCGACAGAGGCTGGAACCCAGAGAAGGGAAGGGGGTGGCTTCTTCCTCCCTCCCTGGCAGTCAGCAGGCTCCCCAGCCCTTCACTCATCAGGAGCCCAAAGCTTCTGCAGCTGGTGAACTGGGAGCTTCCTGAGGACAAGGCATGGCTGCTGTCCCCCCCTCTGGAGGTTGCTGTCTCCGCAGGCTGGAGCCCAGACGGCAGGTGCCACAGCTTCTCTGCCCACTGTCTGCCTTTGTCTTCTCCAAGATGCTTCAGCCTTTCAGCCTGCATATTGCCTGTTTCCACATAAACATACCACAACACTGGCCAGAATGTGGAAGTTATAGTGGGTAGGTGGGTCCTGAGAGATTTTCATGAGTCCAGAGCCTGGAAATTCTTCCCTTTTGGGAAGAGGGATAGACATGACTGGAATCCCCTCCATCCAGCCTTTTTCCCTCTCTCCCAGGAGAGATGACTGACCCAGGCTCTCAGAAGCTGCTGCTGCCTCCCTCCCACCATTGAACTTCCACAAAGAGTGAGGATCATGCCTTTCCCCTTAAAGACTGAGGGCTGTCAGACAGCCCCCTGGTCACCAGTCCTCTGCAGTGGTACTTGCCCAGCTGCTCCGTCAGAGCAGCATACACCCCACAAAGAGAGACATGAAACCCACCTGTGCAGCATGTGGGCCAGCACACTTCTCTCTGGCATGGTCAGGGATTCATCTGCAGGACTCTGGGGACAGTACCACACGCTCAATCTTGTACCACTAGGGACTTGATACAGTTGCTCATGGGCTTTTCAGGGAGATTTGTAAAGTAACCTCAGGCAGCCAGAGAGCTCACATAGGGAGAACTGAGAGGAAAGCACAGTGTGGCCCTTCTACAGCCCAGGGTGCACCCCTCCCCACAGGAAGGCCCTGCTCACAGCCCAGGGGGATCTTGGACAGGGAAGCCCCCAGCCCCAGTGCTGCTATGTGGAAGCTCAGCCAGCCTGAGCTCCTGACTACAGATGCATGAGGGCAACCATGGTGCAGGGGAGAGGAAAGAAGACTAAAAGGTCTCCTGACAGCCCGACTGAGGATCTCAGAGGGCCCTGCCCACACAAGCAGAGGTTCCAGACTCCCTGGAAGTCTGATGTGGACTTCTGCCTGTGCTGAGATCCCTCCCTAACCAGCTTTCTGGAGCCTAAGGGTAGCTTGCCCAGCAGAGTCATGGTCAGCCTTCTCCCCCACCTGCCTCTATTGTGCTACAGAAGCAGGACTGACCTGGAAGCTCCAGGTCCCGCCCATCACCAGGGATTAGAGCAGTCATTGGTCCCCAGACTGCACTGCGGCTGATTCCTTCAAGCAAGCACCATCTACTAATGGCAGGGAGGACAGTGCTCAGCCCTTTACAGTATCCATTGACTCAATTGTATGGCATGGGTTTGACTTTTATCCAGAAGTACAACCTGCTGTCTCAGAGTTGAAACTGGTAGTACCTATAAAATTCTGCTCACTGTTAGGATGAGCACAGGGCTGGAGAATGAAAAACTGTTAATGTTCCCGTAGCTTCTCTGATCAGTGACACAGGGAAAGGAAACTGCAGATGGGATGATTGATTTGAAGGGAGGTTGAGACTCACTCAGGTCAGCGACCAGGCCTAACTTTACTAATTATCGTACATACTCAGCAAGAATTTAATACACATAAAAAGAAGTAAAGTAAGATTAGGAAACTACCATTAAGATTCCAATTCAGTGTGAAGGCTGAGGACACATATACAATTGATTTTGTTTGGGGTAAAAACATGAAAGAGACTGGCTGTCTGCTCTTGCTTAGCTTAAGGAGTTTTAGAATGAAACCAAATATTGTAATGTTAATGAGGGGAAGGGCAGAGAACAGACAGAACGCTACAGACAGGCGTTCAGGCTTCCAGCTATGACCCTGGTCTGACTCTCCAGCATTTCTTTGTGAGAGTGTCTC